ATAATAATAATAATAATAATAATAATAATAATAATAATAATAATAATAAAAATAAAATCTGGCTGGAGAGAGGGCTTTGGGATAGGGCACCCAAAACTTCACATATGTAGGAAGGGGTAGTCCTGGCCAAGGTTCTTGACTACTCACAGCCCAGACAGAAGCCAGCCTTTCTGGGTGGCTCCGTAGGTTAACTTTTCTCTCCAGGTGGCTCTTGATTCATTAAAGGTTCACAGAACTTCCACCCCTGATCCCCTGGCCTTGGAAACAAGGAAGTAAATAAGTGGAATTAATCTCGTGTTTTAGGCTCAAGCCACCACTGGGAGTGCCAGCTAACCTAACGGAGGTCAGTGGCCATTAGTTAAACGCTTCATAAATACACTGATCTGAAAGAGGAGCTTCCGTCCTAGAATCATGGTCAAATTTGCTCACCGGTGATGGACCTTGACTAGTCTTTAACCAGACTGTGAAGAGCCTGGCTGTTAGGAGGCTGTAACCTAGACCTTGCTATGCAAGCGTGGGCCCCCTCATCCTCCTCCCTGCATGCCCCTAGATCCTCACTCCTTGTACTCCTCCCCCCTTTCCTTTCTTTTCTCTCTCCCTCCCCCATTCTTCTAGGCATCACCATGGCATCACAGCAGAGCAGAAACTCAGCTCGACTCACCCACCTCTTCCTTGCCTGCCTGCTTGGGAGCCCAAGCTCCTGCCTTATAAAGCTTGCTACGCCCTTCTCTTCCCCATCATATCCTATCCTCCTGTTCACGGAGGTGGTAGCACAGTGTTATGCTGAGGGCGAACGAGAAAGGGTTCAAGTACCAACACGATTGCTACATCTCCCTTCTGTGGCCACAAGTATGCCCATTTTTTTTTTTCAGCCTCATTCTCTCTGACCGTACATTGGGACAGCTCTGCCTAGACCTTTCTCAACACTTACGACTTTCCATTACTCTTCAAGATCCACCAAAGGCACAGCCACCAGCCCAGCATGGAAGTCAAGAACGATACCCTTTGTAGTCCTGTCCCACCATCTCCTCCTCTTGCATATCTCAGCAGCTATCATGGCTTGCCTACTAGCTGAGGTTAGGGGGTAGAGTGCTTTCCTTAGACATGAAGCAGCAGGTTACCCTGGGACAGGAGACGGGCGGCTGGAGACTGCCAGCCAGTGAGGCAGGGGCATTGGGCCGATGAGATGGAAGTAAAGATAGATATGCACTGTAGGAAGAAGTGAGCCCCTCTCCGCTGGCACTAAAAACCCCAAAGGTCTTCATGATCCAACTACCCATTCTCCAGACACTTGTCTTAGAGGTGGCAACTGCAAGAATCAGTCTTTGGCTTCAACTCACCCTTACTGGAGTCTGGGACACACACGTATGCCTTAGTGCCCTCGTATTGCCTGTGACCTGCCTTCTGCAAGGCAAAGACACTAAGAACACAGGAAGGGCCCTCTGGGTCTCCATGCATGCCATGGCCACATTCTCTGGGTGGTGTGCCTGTCCATGTGCTTATTTGTCTCCATAGAGCACTGGGGCTCTTTGCCTGGTCTCCTGCTGGCTTCTGGCCCAACATCCACCTTGGCATCCAGCTTGTCCATCTGGCCAGCTGTCTCATGCAATACATCTTGGGGGGCTGAAGATGAGTGAGAGAGGTGGGATTCAGGGTTCCCTGAAGGAGGAGAGAAGGAGGCTCTGGGACTGGCAAAAGTATGCCTATGGGGTCACCCTTCAATGAGATGCTGGTGGCAAGGGCTGCCTCTTGCTCTTTCCATTCTGCCTTTAGGGTGTGGGGGAGCTGCTAACTACCCGGCCATCTAATTTCTTCTGAACTCTAGGTTGAGTTTCCTAAGAGGGTCTCCATCTCTTCTGCCAACTGAAGCTCAGAAAAACATAAGATGAATCCACTGAAAACCAGCAGACATGGTGTTTGGAGCAGCCAGTGCTCACTGCTGCACAGCCCTCTTGGCCTCTAGACCCCTTCCTGGCCACCTCCCCTCTTCAGAATCCACCCCCATTTCCATCTCATCCGTGTCCCTGCCCTGCCCCAGAGGACCCCGCTGCTTCTGCACCCAGCTCAACACAGCCCCTCCCAAACCTTCCCAAATGTACTCACCATGGGCCGGGAGAGGGGTCTGCAGGGTCCTCAGCTTCTCTGCTTCTCCAGGGGGCCTGCAGCGTCTCCTGGGACCCAAACACCTGGCTCCCGGGGGGAGCTGCGCCCTGTGCTGGCAGCGGGAGAGGCACAGCCAGTGATTGGCATGTCCCACCCCCTGGCACGCCAGCCTTGGGGGGGAGGGAGGAAGGGAAAGAGAGGGAGGGAAGAAAGGGAGGAAAGAAAGGGAGGGGGAGCAGGAGGGAAGCCTCAGGCAGCATCTGGGGTTGCACTAAGTCCTGGAGTGTGCCCCCCCCTCATCCACAAGGGCACCCACTTTGAGTCTTGAGAGGGAGGAGGCAGGACATGAGGAAAGAGAGCCCAGGAAGGCTAAAAGTCCAGGAGGAGAGAGAAGGCGGATACAGGGAGACAAACACCCACACCCACTGCACACAGACTGGCGGCACACACACACACACACACACACACACACACACACACACCCTCACAAAGGCACACTCTGTTTCCCGGGCTCCTTCCCCCACCCAACCGGAAAGCCCCCAACTCCTGTGCACCATGTCCCAACACACATGCCCCGGTATTCACATGCTTGCTTCCTTTGCACACCCCCACCCAAGAACATGCCCACGCGCCCACCCACCCAGCCACACACCCTGCTCTTCCTCCCTGCTGTGAGGGAGCTAGATTCCTTCTGTTTGAAAATGACACATTGGGCCTCACGTGAGAGGTTCCAACTTGGAACAGACCCAGAGGGATGGTGCACCCGCCCTGGGGCTGAGTGACATGCCCACATGCTGGGCAGAGTGCTCTAGTGTATGCAAAGCCCTAGTGTGAGGGTGTATGGGTGTCTGGTCTGTGCGAAGTTGGAGGCTGTGTTTGTCCCATATGCTGTTCAGTGTCCGGTATGTGTGTATCCCTGTGTGCTCATGTTACCACGCAGCCTGCGGGAATACAGGTGAGACCCTGCCAATCTGGAGCCAGAACGCATGTGCGTGCGTGTGTCTGTACTCAGCGTGTGTCTGAGTGTTGCCCAACTGTGGAATTGGCTAATTTTGACAAGCGAGGCAGCATCTACCTCCCTGCCTGCTCCACCCCCAGCTTCCCCTTGGAAGACAGACAGACAGGCAGACCGACAGCTCTCCTCCCAGCCTGTCAAACTCTGTCTCCCCTGACTCCCACTCTAGTTCACAGGTGTGTACCTGGGGAGTGTGAGCCACTCCTCCTCTCAGCCTACAATTTGGCCCGGAGCCCTCCCCCAGGCCGGTTTGGATTTCTGTGTTGTTTCCTCAGAGATAGAGATTCCCCACCGTGAGGGGTGTGTGTTTTGTCATAGGGACTGGGTCCAGCAACACCCCAGTAGAGACTTCCTGGAGAGCTGACCGTGGAGGAGAATTGGGGAAGCTAAAGGTTCCGGTGTTCTTTGCCCCATGGGCTGTGATGCAGCCTCGGGTGGGAGGCGGGAAGGACCGAATCAAGATCGCCATTATGTAGAGAGAAATGTGAAAGCTGAAGGTGGGTACGGGTACGAGGTGAGCCACTGTTTGGACTCAGGTCCTGGGGACTCTAAACTCAGGGTTTTGGAGTCTGGGGCACAGGGTTGAGGCCCTCCCCAATCTTTCTTTCTCTTCATTTTTCTACCAAGCACCCTATCCTACCGTTGAGTTTGGAGCCCAGTTGCCTAGGGAGCCGGGTAAGGAATAAATCGGCGTCTCTGGAGCTTAGGCCAGCAGCCACGGGGCACAGGTGGCAGGTACATCAATACTTTTGAGGAGCCAGGGGGCCGAAAAGCACCCAGTGTGCCTTCTTTTTGCTCTGGGTCAGATAGTGCAGCTGGGGGCTGTGTGTGTGTGGGGGGGAGGGGAGGGTCGGGGCGGCTAGCTCCTCCTCCCACTCTCGGGGTCATTAAACCCTCGGAGTTAGGTCAGTCAGAAACCAATCAGTCCCGGCGATGGGCTGCCCCCTGCTGGGCCGTCCTTAGGTTGCGGGCTGCGGGTTGGGAGCGCAGTGGGGGTGCGTGTACTTGTGCGAGTACACGTGGCTTAGAGTGGGGGAGTTAGGCCTCCACATCCATTTCCGAGTCTGAATCAAGCTTCCTCTTTGCCCCTTCCCCCAATCTTCTTGCTCTCCCTTTTCTCCCACCGCCTCTGCACATGTCCCTTTAGAAATAAAAACACTTATTTTGTGGGCGGGAGGGGAGGGTGTCCAGCTTTCCCCTGCCTCCTCGTGAGTGCCCCCCATCTTTAGCCCACGCAGCTTTCTGCAGTCTGTGCAGCTTCAGAAGAAGGGGGCTATAGCCCCGTCCTCCCGTTGTTATATCATGCGTTTTGCCTTCCCGTCTAGCTTGGCTAGGTCTCCCCTTACCAGTTGGGGAAACTGAGGCACGAAGGAAGAAGGGAGGCAGCGCGGGGAGAAGCGCTCCCGCCCGGCTCGCTCACCACCCCCGCATTCGCGCCGGATTTAGCCGCAGGGAGGCTGGGAACATTGTCTTTATTTTAAGCCGCCGAGTGCGGCACGAACGCGGCTGCTCCCGACAAAGGGCTTCGCTAAGCGGCTGCAGGCGGCGCACGTGGGGGTCTGGTCCGGCCCCTTTGTGACCCCCCTCTCCAGCTACCCTGACCCTCTCCAGCTTTACTTTCTCTGGGCAGGTGGGGGCTGGGCCCACACTGGACTCCCGGTCTGCGCTCCTGCTGCTTGCTATTTTTGATCAGTGTTGGATGACTCGGCCCAATCATAAATACTTCTAAGTAGAAAAAAAAAAAAAAAAAAAGTGAAGTTGTCACGGGTTCGAATCCGTCTTTAGGTTGGTTCATTCGAACTGCTCGGCAGGTTAGAGCTTGTCTCCAGGTCTGTTTAATCAGTGACATGGGAGTAGAAGTACCTCCCTTGATGGGGCAGTTACATTAAACGGTGGCACCTTCAGTATTTAAAAGAGAAAGCTATTATTGTTATTTATAATAGGTATTGAGCGCTTACTCCCGCGAGACACTGCTAGGTGCTTTACATTAATTAACCTGTCGCTCATTGTTCCGTGTGGGAGGCTTTCTTACTCCCATTTTGCAGATTGAATAGATTCACAAAACGGCACGTGCCTCTGGCTTTGTGGAAGGTTCAGTGTGCCTGAACAATCCTGGGGTTGGGAACGGGGTGTCAGTTCGCAGGCTGCAGTTTGAGGGAAGGGAGGGCTATTATTTTCCTTAAAAATTTAAAATTTTATTTATCGCATATGGTGTAGGCGCATGTCTGTGTAAAACGCCGTAGCGCCCAGGAGGAGGTCAGAGGTTAACTTGCAGGAGTTCTTTCCTTCCACCTTGTGGGTCCTGAAGATTCCGATGCGTCAGGATAGTTTTTTTTTTCAAAGACCTCCATGGGGTGGGGAGCGTTGACATAAAGTGCTGCACCCCTTTTTACTTAAATAATTACCCTCCGTTTTAGTGCAGGACAGAATCTCAAACCTCACTAAACCTTCAGGATGCTGCTTCCATTGTGTTAAAGGATGGAGGCCTCAGGAGGGAAGTTCTGTTCTTTTTGTTCTACCAGGCCTGTGATATGCAGGTGGTCCTTGAGGGCCCTTGCTGAGGGCTGTGGGCCAGAGGTGTCATCACTCCGGAAGGCACCCAGACAACTTGACAGCGCGCCTTCTCACGTCTTCCTTTGCCTGAAGTCTTTCTTAACCTTCCTGGGTCTTCTCCTCCACTCCAAAAGACTGTTTTCTAGATTTAAAAGGAAAAGCTTCAACCCAGGGTGGGGCTGCAGATGGGCTAGGGCAGATGCAGCCGCTACAAAATTATGGGTCAAGAAATCAAGGTTTTACACTATGGTTCTTAGGGTGAATGAACGCAGACACACAGTCTGCTCAACCAATTCTTCACCTTCCCGGCCAGTTAACTCTGGCTCCTCTTGGCAGGGGTGTGGCCCGGAAGCAGTCCCCCCATCTATCCCTTGTCTCACAGCCCAGAGCTGAAAGGAATCATCTGGGTCCAGCAGAGCATTCTCTAACCCCAAAGAGCCCGTTGGTCCCTGCTGTGGATTTAGGTGGTACTCGAGGTCCGGCACTGGGAACTGAGATAACCCCAGACGGAACCTTAGAACTGTGTTCTTAAAAGGTGTCTCAGCTTGCCTAGGAGGACAGGTCTTGGAGCTCAGGTCACTTGCCGCTGCCTTGGAGTTGGCTACACCCTAGCAGCGTGAACCAGATCCCGGGAAGAGGCATTTCCACTTATGCCAAGGCTTCTTCTCAGCTCTCTAACAGTCTATAACCAAAAGCTGCTCGGAAATTTATTTATCTTCCCTTGGTCATTGAACATAGGGCCCAGATCTAGTTCCACATGAAATTGCTGTTTAGGAGTCTGACACAGACCTGGACTTTAGAGTGTTCAAATTTTTTTCGTTACTGGGGGAGGTCCTTTGCCTTGCTCCTGTTGTTCTTTCCCTCCCCACACATTTCCCCCAACAATCCAATTTGTATATTAAATCCCATATGTGTTAGGGTTTCTGCTGCTGCTGAGAAAACACCATGACCAAAAAAGCAAGTTGGGGAGGAAAGGGTTTATTTGGCTTGCACTTCCAGATCATAGTCCATCACACTGGAGGAAGTCAGGACAGAAATTCAAGTAGGGCAGGAACTTGGAGGTAGGAGCTGATACAGAGGCCACAGAGGGTGCTGCTTACTGGCTTGCTCCTCATGGCTTGAGAGACCTGCTTTCTAATTAATGTGCATTAGTTTGAAGGCTTCAGATCCCTTGGAATTGGCATTATAGACAGTTTGTGAGCTGCCATGTGGGTGACTGGGAATTGAACCCCGGTCCTTTGGAAGAGCAGACAGTGCTCTTAACCTCTGAGCCATCTCTCCAGCCCCTCAGCCTGCTTTCTTACAGAACCCAGAATCACTAGCACTGGGATGGCCCCACCCACAATGGGCTCTGCCCTTCCTTATTGATCATGAATTGAGAAAATTCCTTACAGCTGGATCTCTTGGAGTCATTTCCTCAACTGAGGCCCTTTTCTCTCTCTGATGATTCTAGCCTGTGTCAAGTTGACACACAAAACTAGCCAGTACATCATA